ATGACGTTTTGTGTCAGATGTCCGAAATATTATATTTATTGTATTATATTAAATATTATAATATATATTTCATAAATTAGTTTTGAATAATTTAAAGACATTAAGTAGTTGTTCTCACCAAGTATCGAGTCTGTATTTTGAAATCAGGTATTAACCGATTTACATAACAAAGTTACAAATACTACTCTTGACTGTTAATTAAATCAAAACTAAAATGAAGCAGTATTTTATAAAACAACTGACATACCATTAAAATTAGGCATTTATTTAGGTATGTATGTATTTATGTAAGTTTATATGTATTTAAGTATATGTATGTACGTATGTAAAATGTGTATGGGTTCTAGTGTATGATAGGTTTATGTACGCGTATTTGATAATATAACTACTATCAAACTTTAACTAAAATGCACCACTTCCTGTTCTCTCTGGATCACCCAAAGGTTTAAGGCATTAAGTCCGCAAATGCACCAAAAGTGCATGATGTATAAATAAATAAATTTCTCATTATTGTAATTTAGAAACTTGTGACATCATAATGTTGCTATTGTAAAATAAATTACAGACTTTTTTTAAGTTTTATCTAACAATTGATTATCCATTCATACAAAACGACACTACTCTAGTTAAAGAAAAATGTAAATCCTAATGTCATTTTTTTTTATTTCGAACTAGGTGTTATAGGTATATACTAGGTGTTAACACAGCAGTCGCATAAACATTTGATGTTTTTAGGTTTCAGAACCGTCACGGATTATAATTCATATGTTATGTTAACAAGATATTATTACTACCTGCGTCCACGTTATGCTTACACGCATTTGCTGCAGTTTGTTAACGGCTATACTAAGAACTGTGTCACCTGACCTCATAGCTTAAGTACTAGAAATGAACAAAACAAATCATTAAAAACTGGAGTAACGAGTTGTTTCAAGTAACACGATTGTATTTTAGAACAATGGAAGTAAAATTTATTCCAAGTATATTAAGAAAAGTGATTTTATGTTTACTATCTGATTCTTTATAAGCATAAATAGAAGGAGTATAAGTAATAGGCCGAATAGAGCAGGATCGTATACATGGAACTCGAACTGGCTGTTGCCAGAAGAAAGAGAGAGAGAGAGAGAGACAGAGTAGAGTCCTAGCTCTCTAACCTTTCCACTTCTTTTAATTACAATTCCTTTGGCCCGACTAAAAAATCACTTTAATATCACGGGATTGTTGGTCTAGTAGTTAATAACTCTGACTGCTAAGCCAGAGGTCGTGGGTTCGATGCCAACCCTGGACAAATAATTGTGTGATGAGCATGATCGTTTGTTCTTTGTCTGGGTGTAATTTATTTATAACTAGCTGAGACCCGCGGTGTTACCCGCGTTTGTTGTTATAACTGCGGGCAACGCCGCGGGGCGAAGCTAGTCTAAAAAAAGTAGCCTTAGTTACTCCTTATGTCATCAGCTATCTGCCAGTGAAAGTCCCGTCGAAATCGGTCCAGCTGTTCCAGAGATTGCCCGGAACAGACAGACAGACAGTCAAAAATTGTAATAAAATATATTTTTGGCATATGTACCGTGTTAACATACATATTCATTTAGTAAAAAGCGGTTATTTTAATATTACAAACAGACACTCCAATTTTATTTATTTGTATAGAGTATAGATATGTATGTATTTAGAAATATATAAGTATGTTTATCAGCAGTCTGGTTACTATAGCACAGGCTCTGCCTAGTTTGGTATCAGACGGCCGCGTATGAGATTTGTCAGGGTATTACTATATCCTCATTTCTACTCGCACCTACATGATATTCATGGATCACCTACACACAATACAAAAGGCAAGTATTAAGGCCACAGCGACTTGGAGGAGATTAGCATGACTGGCTCTGAAAGGAACCGCCCTCGCGTATCAATCCGTTGACAAGGTGACTTTTAGACTAGCTACATCGGTATAGAGAGAATTGTAATATGTTTAGAGCATAATAATAATAATAAATATTTAATTATCCAAATAACCTTTAACAAATTGTACCTACTTAATACTATTTAATATTCAGTCAAGGATACACAGGTATACAAAGATAAACCCTTACTTCCAAACTAGGTAGGTATTCCTGGGACTTAGGAGTTAGTGTTCTACCATCACTATATTCACAATGATCCTTTCTTGTATAGTACTATTGCCATAGGTTGCATGTCATACAGAGAACTTAATAAAGGTTTTGAAGTCCAAAAGTAAATTACACTATTATCAAACAGTATTAAACTATGTGGGAAATAGAGAAAGAAATTTGTGTATGTATGTATGTATGTGTGTGTGTGTGTGTGTGTGTGTGTGTGTGTTTGTTTGTGGGTGATAGTGAGCGTAGGTGTGTAAGTATTAATATTAATAATATTTCGGACATCTGACACACAACGCCATCTAGTTACTACCTAAGCAAAGCTTGTACTATGAAAACTAGATTGACTGATGAAATACTTATATACTTTTTTTTGTAAATACATACATATTATACATAGAAAACACTCTAACTTCGAAACAAATATTTGCAGATCATACAAACATTAGGTCCGACCCGGGAATCGAACCCGAGACCTCAGAACAACAGTCGCATAGGCCACCACTTCACCACCGAGGCAGTGTAAGTGTAAGCATTCGATTTTAACATTTGTATATTTTTAAATGAAAAAACAAATTAGAATGGGAGAGCAATGCTTCGGCACATCCAACCGGAGTGATTACCCCGGTGTCATAGAAAACCGGTGTTCAGTATTCTTTACATTACTGTATAGTATATTGTGATCACAGAGATACTTATCTAATTTATATTGTGTTATTAAATTTTCTCCTTATGTAAATGAACTGTATTGTTCTTTTTTCTGAGAAATAAATGTGTTGAAACCTAATCAAGTTTTGAGTGAGTGTGGTGTGGAGCCCCAAACCTTGTGGGGTGGGAGGGGACTAAAAGAGGGACAAAGTGGTTGTGAGTTTTTAGTTGCAGGTGTATATGGGCGGCGGCAGACATTTACCATTTTTTTTTTTTTTTGTTTTTTTTTTATGCCACCGACAGGTGGTATCCGAGGGGATTTCCTCGGATAAAAAAAAAAAAAAAAGGTGTTGCTCATTTGCCTATACCACAAAAAAATACAACTAGCATTAGGCCTCGCGTTACCGCCACATTCTGTTATATTCCTTCATTTATAAAGAGTCAACTTTTGCTTTTAATAATTAACTTTATAACTTTTTTGTATGATTTTATAAAATTGACTGCACGGATGGCGTAGTGGTTTAAGCGGTCGCCACGCCGCTTCCTACTACGCTGAGTGGGTTCGATCCCCACATGACGACACTTTGTGTGATCCACAAATTGTTGTTCTGAGTCTGGGTGTCCTTTGTGTCCGTTTGTAAAGACCCCGCGACACAGGATGAAATAAATAAAATAAAAAATTACATTTGAAAAATTGCAAATTCAGGCTTGTTTCGTAAGCTAAAATGTTAAGACATGTTATCGAATTTTCATTGATTACGTAGCTGGATATTTCATTCTTGATTCTTGTTATATTGAATTGATGAATATGAGTCATGCGTAGTTATATCAAAAATGAATTTATCATGTCATAAATTATTCACAATAACAATGTGAGCATTTCTATTTACATTATTATACCAAAAATGTGCAAACATCGAATAAAACAACACTCGAACAATCGAATAAAAATTAAAATATAACACTTTTTAAGCGTTAAATAAACTCAAAACACCACACAAAATGCAAAAACAACAAAAACAAAACTATTTGGAAACAAAACCGGTATTGTAAGCTATGTGTCAAATGAACAGAGCGATGCGAGCAGGCAAAAAGGTGTGCAAAAATCGAGCGGCGACCGTGCTAGATCGAATGCAGGGAATGCGGATTGAATACTGATGTTGTTCATTTGCCGTAATATTTGTCACTAAATAAATCGATTCAACAATCGATATACACTTTATTATTGCACAATACTATTTCATAATAAAAAATCAAATCGCTTTAAATATACAAATTGCACGTTAATATTTATTACTTGTAATCTATTCTAAAATAACATATTTTGCAATCAAATGAACAACATCGTTAAAATTCACATTCCGATGCAAAATTAAGACTTCGTGCCTGTCAGTTGGTTGAGTCCTTGCGGCACTGAGGAGTGCGTGGACCAGAGCGACCTGATCTTATTGAAGACCAGGCTATGCCATGCCGCGTTCCGTGGACCTTCCTCAGGTAGCCCTGTTGGAGCGAATTCTCGATGTAAAATAATTACTCCTCAACACTATTGTAATCTCCAATAATCTCCTAAATATTCCATTTTCCGTTCATTGCATGTCAACAATACAAACATATAACCCAGATTATATAAAGACATTATTCATATCAACAGATATAAATGTTTCCAATCACCAGATTAAGTAGAAACATGAAGGGGCTGGGGCCATAGCAAACTGATACAAATGGTTTATTAAGAAACCCACAACTGTAAACGAAGTGTATATTTCAATTACTCAAGAAATCTGGTAGACGGGTGTGATATAATTAATGGATATGGAAAATGTATCAGATATATAGACAAAGGTAGCAGCCGGCTCGCAGTCTGCGCGGGCGCATTGCTAAAGTACGGAATTATGCTTTAACTAATAAATACAAGAGACAGACAACCGGTCCTTCAAGGAACCCCTACGTACATCCGGCGGGGCAAGCGTGGGCGCTCGTGTCGCAACTGTCGTTCGATATTATTTACGACAAAACGGATCCTCGATGTTTTCGTTAATGTAATAAAAACAGTCATCGAGAGAGAGGCACTACAGCAGCCTTTAAATGAATGAGACTTGAGCATTACCCTATAAGGCATCAATAAAGTGTTGAGCTTGCTAAGTGGAGTCACCAGTACTTGCGCAACGATGTAAATTTGCGAGAACCACGCGCGAGCCCACGGATATGCAAATATTGTGCGTGCGATGTACTCACCGGAGAGAGGCACGTGGTTGTCGTGCGAATGGCGCGCGCGATGTCCGAATGGACTGCGCAGAGACTTAGGACTTAGGAAGAATCTTCTTCTAGTATGCGGTGGTGTTGGACAGCTCTGTGCCAAGTTAGACGGCTGTTTCGGCGGTTTAGGCAGACGCAGAGGTGACTGCCAGTCCGGCTCCTGCCGTTGCGGCGATGGCGTGTACCGCTCCATTACTGGTCGCCTCTGACTCTGGTTGCTCCTCGCACACGATGGACAAGCTTCGTTCCTGAACATGCACGAATAGCAGCGCTCATGCCCGCAGGTATCGATGAGTTTTCTCTTTTTGCCCTTGTCAAAGGGCATGTTACAGCTAGGACATGTTGTGCCTCCAGTTTCGCTCTCTAACAACTGCCTTATCGCCGCCAAGTCTGGAACAAGAAATGATAATGTTATTATTGTCATCACGTTATCTACTGATTGTTTAGTATGCGACGCAGAGTTGGCACTTCATGCATGGTAATCAATGTACACATTAATGACTGCTTAAGTTAGTTTCTAGCTAGTAGTCGTCTAGCTTAGTACAATGGTATCACAATATACGGTACGCATACCTAATTGTTATAATTAATGATATCGAATGAGGATGTAGCGTCAGAATTTAAATGAGATTATGGCTCGGCAGTGAATGATTAGTGCTTTTACGATGTAAGTATACTGTATTTTTACCTTACTACACATACTTTCATTTGTAGAAAATTAAAGTAATTGCGTTATAAATATTTTTATATCCTCACATTGCTCAATATAAGTGCGGTTAATTTTAAAACAAACTGATTTACACATGGTTGTCGTTATAACTTCTGGAAACCAGGTTCTCTCATCAAAACTTAAATCAACACTTTCAAATTAAGCGATTCGTAAATCAAGAGTCTGTAAACGGAGTAATTAAATACAAACGTTGCCTCACGAGTCGGCGGGATGAGACAGCTACATCTTGTATCTTCTTCACTTACACTAAAGCTCGTACAGCGTCCTGATTCCATCGACAAATGACATTACGAGAAGATTGACCGGGCGCCGGCGTATGCGCATGCCGCAAGTTCTTTTACAAGTTTTTATTTTTGTTTATAATACCGTCTTGGTATTGTAGGCCAAATTAGTTTTTTTTTCTACCTCATAAATTATCAGGATTAAAACCGGCATCGATTAATTGATATGGTCGTTTTAAATAGCCGTCCGCTTGTAAACAATTTCCAGTGAGAGATACTTACATCGTATTTTGGGCGCTTTCCTTTCGCGACCTTTAAATGAGCTTTTAATAAAAATACTTCCTGTCGCTCATGACAGGCACGTAACGTGTTTATGACGTTTTGCAGGTTAATGAAGCCCGTTGGAAATTATTTATTATGCAGTTGTTGCGAAAAGTGCGTGATATAACTGCCACTTTTTCTAAAATACGAAAGTTGATGTCGAAGATTTCGCATGCCGTGATTAAAAATATAAAGGAGGGGTTTTGAATAATAATAATACTTATTAATTCTTTTTCTTTATTATCTGCCAGTCCTGACTTTTGCACGGGTAGCAGAGCACAAATGCGTACTTACATATTTTTGTTATTGTGTGTAAATCTTGGAAGTTTGACATAGACTGTTAGTGTAATAAAATAGATCTTTTAACAGGGAATATGTGCGTAATGTGTACTTTGTTTTGATGTAACTCTATGTATATGCATACGCAGCGCACGTCAATGATGCTCCTAATGGGCACGAATCTTACCGAAATCATCAACAATAGTCGTCATATTTCATCGTATTAATATAAAACGTTAATGATTTATACACCAATAAACAAGTCTAGTCAATAGCGAAAATCGTATGGAAATATTTTACGCAGTTTTGGTTTTTATAGCGTTAAAACAGAGTGAAAGATAGAAAAAGCGGCTGAGTTTCATTATAGATATAATATGTTGTTCATAAAAGAGCCCAAATTCCCCTTCCCTTCTGGAGGACAGTAGGGGGGGGGGGGCTAAATGGCGGTAACACATTCTGTGACTCTTGAATTGCAGATGTCCATGGGCGGCGGTAGTCACTTACGATCAGAAGGCCTGTCTGTTCGTTTTCCCCAAACCTACCATAAAAAACTTTTTAAATCCGTCTGGAAGACTGAGATTTATTATATTAGTGTAGTAATTATAGGTTAAACTGAAATAACCAAAGGTTGGCGGTGTCTTGTTTTCAATTTGTTTAAATCTCTCGTCACCCCTGACATTTTTAAAGCATATACCACTGTGATAGATCTATGGTCACTTCATTACGTTATTTTTATTTCTCTATAATCTAATTTTGTATCTGACACTACGAATCCAAAAACATATCATCGATCACTGGTTACGGTGAGGCGTTGGCCAATATAAGGTCATTTTTAACGTCAAATAATTAATGCTGATAATTTATATTATTTTTTCATCAAGGTAGTTAATATTTCTTTTTATTTGAAATTCTTTTAACATAAAATCTTTCCCGCCAATGAAATGTTGTCGTTGTTGTACTAGACAACTGATATAAATACATATATTATACTTTTTTTTTTGTAAATACATACATATATACATAGAAACACCCAGACCAAATCAAACATTAAATGTTCATGCACACAAATGTTTGACATGGGCGGGAATCGAACCCGCGGCCATTAGAATAGCAGTCTGTTACACAAACCACTACGCCATCCGGTCGTCATGTTGCACTTTGAAATCTCTTATTCTGTTACCAATATTATTTGTCATTTAAATGTTAATCAAATATATTAATTTAAACAGTAATTAGACAGCATGTGTAGGAGCAACGTTAAATTAAATGAAAGTTTTCAAAAATTGTTTGGGGGTAAGTAGAAGAGTGTCGAAGTTTTTAAAACAATATATTTCTAATTCTTTCTTTCTTTCTTATTTACCTTTCCTTTCATATTAAACGATAAATTTATAGGCACTATATTATGTGTTTTTTTATTATAGAAATTAAAAACAATGTTTTAATCAATTTCAGGTTCTTAACAACAACTAAAGCGCTTTATACCTAAGTTAGAGCCTTGGTGATGTTTGGTTTGAAATGTTTTGAAAAATTTCCTACTAAGTAAGTACAATGATACTTGTAAATTTTTACCACTTGGGTTTATACAAGAAAAATACAATACCTGTCTACAATCAGACATAGTTATAATAACTAACATAGCGGTTCTTTTAGACTTAATAACTCATAACGACCATGTTAACGTTATTTAAGTCAGTTTCTTTATATTTCACCACAACAAATGACATAAACATTTAGAGAAAATCATTTAAAAATAAGTTTTCAAGCAAACTCAAACATTTAACTATTAGATTATGTATAATCACACATCACATCAACAGCCTTTATTAGTCCATTTCAGACTTATTGTCCATCAGACGGGTTGGTATAGGGCTTGTATCAAGTTTGCCTTCTCTTTGCAGTGTTGACCTGTGTAGCTTGCTCCCTTAGTCGGCTCTTACAACACTAACGGGATGAATAGGGGTAATGACACTCCGTATTCTTAATCCGTCACCTTACGAATTACGGTTCTAAACGATTAATATTTCTTACTAACACCACCATGTTACATACGTAACAATCTATGTAAAATAGATTTACATACTCGTACTATATACAAACATTTGTTAGAAATTTAAAATTATTTGTTAAACAATTTTAAAAATGGCAACAACGAATTTCAGATCCAGTTACAAACAGGTTTGTTTTTTTATCGTGTTATTGTAATAAAAGTGTTTTTATGGTATGTTTTATGGTTGATTGTGATCTTTGACATAATACCTACACGCGTGGCTTTGTAAAATGCCGACACTCGTCATACTAATATAATTTACAGTTACGCACCTTTTACGAAACAATATTACATGTTATAGTTCTCTCTAAAATATAAATAAAATAAGAGAACAAATCACCGTGCTCATCACACAATTATTTGTCCTGGGTGGGAATCGAACCCACGATCTCCGGCTTAGAAGTCAGGGTTACTAACCACTAGACCAACATGCCTAAAAGGATAATATTTGGGTATTCCAATGCAGTAATTCAATTTCTCCACTAGATCTAATGAACTAATGATGAAAGTTCGACATTTCAGTTAAACTATCAATTATAACTTTATTTAAACATCGAATCGATCGAAGGATGTAGCAAACAGACTACAAAAATTAGATCATTAATGGTCCAATTTCCAAATCTTCTCTTTGTCTGAACTTCTCAGCTCTTAAATTTCAGAATTTACATCATAAATGCGTACCGGTCTTTTTTTTCTTGGCACTTCAGAATACACTTTTCTTTAGGTAGTCATTCTGCAAAAACATACATTCACTCATCTGGCTGTGTTCTACATATTTATAAGTAATATATCACCTAACTCTACCTGAGGCTGGTTGAGTTTTAGTCCACGTCTTTAATGCCGGTCGTGTCGAATGTGATTTTACTACGTAAGCGGTTGTTTAGTAGCACGATTCATTATACCATTGCAAACCATAAAACATTGACTAACGAATAGTGTAAGAAAAGTTATCTATTAACTATGAAACATAATATATTCTAATTATTAGATTTTGTTATAAATAAATAAATTTAAACTTCGTCAGTTATAACCAACTCTCCGAATTACCCAACACATGTTGATAAGAACTCTTTGCAAGCATATGTATGTTTTTAACCTATTCTAAATAAAGCTCATTCTTCTAGGTTTTAATTAAATTTTGTAAAAAAATATCTATTTTAGGCTATGATTTAACGCCGTATACCACACAGTATTGTTACACACCGTGCACAGTCGACTATGGCAATTGTCCGACAGCTCAATTGTTTACTAACCTTGTACCATGAAACTCAACATTCCGCATCACAGTAATAACCTCCCGTTCTATAGCGTATAAATGTTCCATGACTTTTTACATTTTACAGTGTCATGGTACCAGGTATGTCTGGCAGAGCGGACGCTGACTCACGCAAATCGGTTGTAGCTAAAAACCATTTGCGAGCGTTGTCGCAACGTTACATCTGCTACTATCTTCATTAACTTTGCAAACGAATTTATTCTCTATGACGATTGACTTTAGGTTGGTTGTGTGAACCTTAAAGAGATTATGGTTGTCTTGGCTGCATCTAAACGGGTTTCGGGTCACGCCTCAGAGGGGATATTAAAGTAATTTTCTTTGAGAACTCATCAATTCCTGAGTTATTACTTTTTTTTTGTTAGACGCGTTTGTAAGTTAGCATTATTACATGTTTGGGCGGTGTTTTGGAATATTTTCGGCTATTTAGGTTAGTGAGACGTCATAATCATGTTTTGTGTGTCTTTCTTAGAATACTGCGTGATAAGATAAAACGTGTATGTTATGTTGTTTGGAGTTCCATATAAGGTTTGGAATAGTAAAAACGACATAC